TGTTTTTCAAGCAAGTATGTGATAGGAAGTTGCCCCAAAACGCTTACTCGTTGGTAGGTGCAGCTTTGAGTTGTGTTAACATGCATGATCACACCTTCAAATCTTGTAGGTCTGTAGCAGTCCTAACGTTTTGCCTGTGATTGCATTATTTTTGTGTAGTACCTAATGTGTTGTGTTTATAACTCATAGATGGCAGGACTTTTGTAAACAGCAACATAGCTGCATCATTGTTGGTCTGTTGCAAAATGTAGGTATATAGATCTTACTATAAAAATAATTCATTATGTGTGTGTGTGTACGTGTTAGCATCCACCATCCAGAATTAGCTGTCTCAGTTACCTTAATTATTTGGATGGTAAGTGCAAACTGCCCAAGGATGTACATGTGCTACTTATTTTATGATTTTTACAAAAAAGGGGAATAACAAAGACCCTGAAATAGGGCACATTTCCACCTTTTTATCCACGTTTCGCTTGTATAACCCAAAGTTGGCTGGCTTAATTACCATAATGTTTTGTATGATAACTGGAAACTGTCTAACAGTGTACAAGGGCTATCTTGTTTTAAGATTTTTGCTCAAAAAGAGGGATAAAAATATCCTAAAATAGAGCATACTTCCATTTTGTTATAGGTTTTTGACTTTGAATTTAAAGACACAAGTATTTAATCAGTTAATTGAGTCAGTTAGTACTATTCATAAGGGATTTAATAGCAATATATTTATATGGCAGTACATATGCATTATGCAACTCATACGTACCTGTTCAGATATGTTGTATTATGCGCATAAGTGCAAATATACAGAGTAGAGTTTTAAATACAAATAAAGAATTTTACTTGACTATTGAGATGTTCACATTTAGTTTGTTTAACAGTCGTAAGGAATATGTATAGTTTAGTCCTAAAATGAAATACTTGTAACAGTGTGCTTTGTTCCCACTGAATAATATGAAAGCTCTTATCTTATCAATACCATACCAAATTAAAAACGTTGTTTTCCTAGTATTTACATCGGTGGTGGTGAAGGAATATTTACAGGCGTGGATAACTGAAGTAACCATAGATTTTGTTACTTTGTTTGAATAAAGCGGAATCACAGTTATCGTCATGTTTCAGAGAAAGAAACACAACATTTTTATGTATAGTTTATTATTAGTTTGATTGAGAATAGTTTTAATTTTTATACTTAAAAAAATTACAACACTTTGGGTGTTACTGAATATTTTATTATTACTTTTTCTGTAGGAGTTTACTGCTTAATGGTGAGCATGCCAAGCTGTGGATTGAAAGTTACAAAGTTTGATATATGATGCCACTGAACATTCCACATTTTTAGCTGTGGGTATATTATAAAAGTGACAGTCAGCCCAAACGTTTAATTCTAAGAACTGGACAAAACCATTGTGGGAGTGGGTGTTGTTGACTTGTTGCCTTCTCTCTGAATCCTAGGATTTCTGACCCAGCAATTTAGCCTATATGTGCATGAGGTGTTGTTCAAGTGCTTGGAATGTTGCTTACAGCCATGTGATTCATGCCTACAGGTAGTTTACTATGGTAACCAGACAATGAATACAAACTTGCCCGAAGTTATGCATAGATTGAAGATATTAGAAGTCGTCTGGTGATTCATTATGAAAATTGTTTGACTAGTATGAACATTGGTCCTAGAAAAAAATGCTAATATCTATATATATACTGTGTCTAACGAAATGGGACCTAATCTTTATTTAAGCTCCTCGAAGATTTTTCTTATAAGGGTTCTGGTAGTGACCAATCAGTATACTCTTAACCCTATATCACTTCCTGAACTTCTGATTTATGAAAGGTCAAACCGTCTGAATGTTTCCAAGCATGACTTTTGCTATAATTTTTTTATTAGCTGCCTTACTTGTAATCTTGATTAGCTAGTTAAGCCAGCCCTACTTCCCTGCCAGGATAGAAGATTTCTTGTTGCCTTCTGAAAAGAAAAGCCACGAGATGATTATCTCAAAACCTTCATGGCTTATGATGGATCCAATGCTGATAGATTGATCTGTCAGTCAAACAAGTATACCTGAGCTGGTAACTTCCATATTCCAGCCAATTACTATTCAAGTAACCAGTTTTAGTACCGCAAAACAAGCCCCCCCCCCAAAAAAAACAACTTAAGAACTGTGTATAGCCCTGTAAAAGGGAATGGAAGAGATTAAATATCACAAAGGCAGTATCCTGGAATGCATATAGATGTACCAAAGGAACTATATTTCGAGAGAATTTTTCTGATGCTTTAAAGAAGAAATGACGCTATCTTAACTGGGCACCAAGAAAAATGCACCATTAACCTTAATTGCTTTGACTGGAACCATCTGAGACACAACTATCATTATACATTTCATCAGCTGTACTCAACTTCTACTGGTGATTTCACCAAAGTTCCTGTGGAATTTCCCTGGTAGAAGTAAAAGAAGGAAGAGCAGTGTCAGAACTAAGAGGAACGATGAATGAAGGCCCAGCATTGAGGAAGACACTACTGGCATGATTTCAGAGTAGCACAATAAAGTTGCCAACTATAAAAAAAATTGAACAAGTCCTGAAAGAACCTCAACCAGGCCAAGAAGCTCCTGTGCTAGAAGAAATCTAAACAAAGCTTCCTATTTTCCATTTAACCTGGCCAGTATTACTAAAGTTGTATTATTGGCCTCTCTTTTTTGTATGTATATTACTCACGAAAGTTTTTTCATTCAATAACTTAGTTTTTCTTTGATATATATATATCTAAACCACAAACACCATAAGAAATTAGGGTTTGTAGGAAAGAACTGAACAGGAAAAAATATGTACAGATCAAATAAAGAAAGTGGGGTTGGACTGGGCACACACTTAGGAAATCCCAAACCAATGTTACCAGGCAGTCCCAAACACGGAACCCTCAGGGTAGAAGAAACCGTGGTAGGCGTAGGAACAACTAGAGAAGGTCAACAGAGGCAGAGTTGAGGGGATTGGGATATTTCTGGAAAAAGTTGGAGAGACAGGCCCAAAACCAGTTCCTAGTATTTTATTTGATCATTATACAGTACAATTATCAAGTAAAACTACTTTTATTGTATTTTGAGAATGGGGAAAGTCTACTTTTAGATATATATTGTACACTATTAAATGTTGTCTTTATTTCTTTAATACATCTGCATGTGACAACCACAGCTGATATAAAGTTGTAAGAGAACTACATTTGACGTTGTTTTACATTACATTGGTGTTTGATTACTGTGGGTAAGGGTAAGTAATAGCTCTTTCCGATGCAAAATATTCATAAACTCAGATTATAAAGATATATTCAGATCATGGATTTAGAATTTCCAAGACGAGGATATTCTTTGCACTTTATGGCATTGGAAAAGAAAGGGATATGGATCAGTTAGTGGAACCAGGAACATTCAGGAAAAGACTGCAACAAGTCATATCCCAACCATGGTAGCAAAGTGTGGTGTCTTGTAACAGGTAAAAATCCTTGAAGAAAAAGATCAGTGGCAAAAGCCATCCACATATCTTAGGAAACAGTATACTGCATATTCAAAAGGGATCTTCCTCTGGAAAAGTGACACAAGTTGCATGTACACAAGTTTTTTGCACGACATATTTGTTGAAGTGTCACATACCTCAAGCAGCTGGAGAACAAAATGGATATTCATGATATTCTACGCGAAGATACACCAGTCAAGTTACTGGGTGCAATGCCTATTAATATGGATTTCTGTTTGATTGTACTGTTGAAACGAGTGCTGGGAATCATCCTGATCGTACACTAGAGGGCTCATGCAAAGCTTACAGAGATGAGGGAGTACACTTTAAACATGACAGTCTTACGACGGAGCCTTTTGCAATAGAAACTATGCTGCAGAACTATTATCAAGATACACAGCCATTATATACAGCATGACCGGACGTAGCAGCATGGACTGTAACGACGTCGTGAAGATCCAAACTCCATTTAATATAATGTACAAAACTTTGTATATGCATAACTTGTCAGATTTATGTAGTTGAGGGAATAATTATTTCCTTTCTATGAAGGCTTTCAAAGTTATAAACTTGAGTGACTTATTCCTTCTGGTAACTTTTCACTTAAAGGCACAGAATGGCTATCTGTACATAACCATCCATAACTTTTAAGTGATAGACTTGAGGAAAGGCAGTTAATAAACAGCCTTATCACCAACTCTTGCCGACCAAATAATGGGATTTGACTATAACTCTTATATGGCACCCACACATTCAAAGTGTAGAGTACGGTTTTGCGATAATGGGATGCGAATCATGAATTCTAAGCTTTATATCTGGGCACACTAAGCACTAAGCGATACCTTCACCCTAAAAAAAGAAGGCTCTGATTGTTTTTATTACCAAGATTGTCTTTACATGGGCCCATGTTTCTAACTTCATTATATATATTGCTGCGTAACTGTTTAAGCAGAAAGATGTAACACTTTCAAAATAAAAAGCAACAACATTCAAATTACATTGAACAGTAATATTTTACTTTAAAATTAAGTTACGTTTCCTATATCTGATACATTTACGGATATATTCTCAATTGTTTTAAGACACATAGCTCTAAAATTATGTTGCTTGCTCTGGAATTATATATGTTTAACATTAATTATATATGTAATACATAAACATTACCAAACATGATATTCTCTGAGAAGCAGTATAATCAAGACATTCATTATTATAATATTAAAACCCATAAGGGCTGGCTTTAAGATTATTATTTTTAATTTAGTTATTAATAGTTTTAGTTAAGTTTAGAAGATGGAACAGCCACGGGAATCGAACTCCAGATTTGAGCGTTGTAATGCCTCAAACTTACTGCTGTTTCATCGAAGTACATAAAAACTGATTCTAAGCGATATTACAACACTCAAATACTGAGAACGTTTTGTGAAATCGTATTTATTTTGCTAAAACTAAAGTTTACAATGTTGCATATACATATATATATATATATTCTATATAAAATACTTGTTAATGAAGAAGCCAACTGAATTAACAGTTATACAATATTACAATAAGTGTTATGTAGTTTTATCATCATGTTACGTTAGGAACTAAATAACTTCATGCTCTTATAAAAGTGCTAATATAATGTCAGTTGACTGCGTGGTGTAAAAGCTGTTGGTTTCGACATCGAATCCTACATCAGGTAGATGTTACTTTGCTTTCTCTTCACAACGGAGTTCTTGTTTGTAAATGAAAATGTATCCTTCAAAGACATCTCGGACGTCCTGCGTACATCTGCCCAGCTTATTTTTCAGGCATTTAGAAAGACTATCGGCTATGCTTTAGAGAAAAGGAACAAAATCATTAGAAAACGCAACAAAATGAAAGTGCTTGTCTTAAGTGTAATGTATCAAGAAAAATTAATAATAAACATTAGGAAACACAAACGCAACAAAATGAAAGTGCTTGTCTTAAGTATAATGTATCAAGAAAATTAATAATAAACATTAGGAAACACAAACGCAACAAAATGAAAGTGCTTGTCTTAGGTGTAATGTATCAAGAAAATTAATAATAAACATTAGGAAACGCAACAAAATGAAAGTGCTTGTCATACGTGTAATGTATCAAGAAAATGACTAAATGCCACGCCTCTGTATGCATTATAATAGCTTATATAATTTATCACACCAATACTAACTCATATATATATATATATATATAATTGTTGAAACAACAATCTATCTCTTGGTAATATGAAATCAGGCTTAGTGAAAGTAACTTCATATTATTTAAAACATCACATCGTGTTTGTATCTGTTACCGCGAGTAACAAATTACACGGCCCTATAAAGAAAAAAGTTTATTCTTCTTTAGATTGCCCCTGTCCAATGTTATAAGAAGTGGAATAACCAGAAAACGTTTCAAACCATTAACATTCGCCAAATCCAACAATAAACATCACTTACAGTCCAACCAAGCTCTGAATCTGCTTTTATCACTTTTTCCATTGACCTAAATCAGGTAAGTAAAATAAACAATAAAAGTAAATCAAGAGCCTGAACTATTCCACAAATACCTCTCGTAGTTAAATAGTAGAAAACATTCCACATTCTTTTTTTAGTTACTGCCTGTTAGATTTTTAACGAAATTCAAACAAATTTACAAATTCTTCAAGTTACCATATATATGCGAGGACATCTCTTTTAAAACTAGTAAAGTCCAAAAGTTTATCGACTATCTTCAATTTAAATTAATTACTTCCTAGGTCTGAGTGTTTGGTCCTTCTTATACCCAGAGCACTTCCGACTTCTGGAATAGACTAGGCCCTCAGACTGTTTTTTTTTTCACAAGAAAAATAAATACATAAATTCTTCAAGGAAAATGTTGTAGCAGGTTTAAATAAAAGTTGAGATAGTTTTTACCAAATTTGCTATTTGCCAATTTTTAAAATTCTTTTTTGGGGGACGCGGGAGGGAGAATTGAATACAAATCTCTTCACAATTCATCATGGTTTTAGAGTGTTATCAGTCAGTGAAATTATTATAGATTTACTCAAAATTATCTGCGTAATCAACATAAATGTAACTTCTAGTTATTCTAACTACGTCAGAATACTTTTATACTTCCATTGAATCCAAATATGTAATACATGTAGCAGTCAGTTTCTCGATACTGTAATATTTCTAATGAAGCCCCCCTCCAGTGGCACAGCGGTATGTCTGCGGATTTACAACGCTAGAATCCGGGTTTCGATACCCGTAGTGGGCAGAGCACAG